CGATTATCTGGATCTTCACAAGGCTATGAGTACTCATTTGTATTATTCCACTTTGTTACCACACATCTCTGGAGACTTATTGTATATTTCATCTTCCTTTCGTTCGATTCACATATTTATGGGTTTGACATCATTTATTACATTTTGGCATCCAGGACATGAACGCACCCAGGCAGGTCGCCCGCCAACAATATTATCGAATATGATACGTTCTTTTTTCATGCGCAATCGGAAGTACAGAGTACGACACATGCAAACCATAGTTTTCATGATATTTGCTATGAAATACTCGCCCTCTTTAGCGTTGTCACAGTGACCGTACAGTTTGTTTCCGAGGTGCCTCGCATCACCAATTGTACGTCGCATAGTTGATCAGTTGTTCTCACAAATTCGATTTTAATATTATCTGAATTCGGGCCAGGAGAGCCCCGGGTAGAACTCTGGGCCTGGAGAGCCCCGCGATCGAGAGACCTTCTATTTTGATCGAGTTGTCGTCGCAACTCTGATCTAATACTTTGCGCGCTCGTCACTGTGCGCCAGTGGAGACGCCTGCATCGCTGCGCGCAGTAATGTTCTCCATTCGACACCCTTTCCCTGGCCCCCCCAGCCTCGTCACCGGCGGCGGCGGGGGGTCGTCCAGGAGTGCCGAAGCGTTGTTTGGGGGGCGCACCCTGGGCTGGCTAACTCGGGTAGACTCCCTTGAGTACCCTGCGCGGCGTGGTTGACCCTATCGTTGCTCCCCTAGCCCATGCGACCTCGTTCAGAGGTGCGGTAATATGGCGGTGCTTTGAGTGGACCTCGCACTTCTGTCCCCGAGCCCCGCCGCTGTCTCCCGCGGGCCCAGGGCCAGCGTGGAGCAGGCGGGATTCGGGACGGGGCGCGCGCGTGCGAAGTCCCATCATACCCCCACTATACCGTCATATGCCGCCAACGTATCCGCCATGGCATTGGCACGCATACCGCGCTGCTCTCCGCGCGGCGCCCTGGAAAAGGAGTAGCTGACATCTTCCTCACTGAGCTCTCCCTACGGGCGCTCGTATAGGATCCGCTCCTCGGTCGCATCCCCACGCGCGCAGCGACATGGGCGTTCGAGCGGGCAGTCACCGCGATGCTGACTGTGGGCAGTGCATGGACATATGCGGGTTTCTCTGCGCGCCTTGATCAGATCTCGCTTGAATGCCCGCATTTCGCCGCTGTCTCTGCCGCGACGCTCCGATGTTTTGATGACGTAGCCAATTTCTTCGCGGATGACAAATTGTTTTACAGACCACCAGGGGCGAACCTGTGCCCCCGTGTAGCCCTGCTCAAGGAAATGGCTCACATCGACTTCGTCGATCTCCACGCGCGGGCCCCGGCCGTCGAAAGAGAAGGAGGCGCGCCCCTTGCCAGAGGAGGCGCGTGTTTGGTTTGACGTGGCCGTCAGCTTGCGGATCGGCATCGTTGCTTGGGTCGCGCGTGGCGTGCGGTTACCAGTTGGTTCGAGAGTATGGGGAATGTAGTGGCTAAAAGCCGGCGCAGTCGGGTACTCCATTGTGCCGTAGTGGTTGTCATGTACATCGCGCGCGATGTAAAAGTCAATCGCGTGAAGATGTAGCCAGCTCCGCTACCAAGTGAAAAGTAAGGGTGCAGGGCTTGTCCATGAGGTAATAAGCTGAGATCCCGACTCTTCGGATAACGTCGGCGACGGATCGATGTATCTCACGGCTCATCCACCGATGGCAAGCAAGACGAGAGGTAAGATCAAAAACCACGGGATCGGGAGATGGATCATAGAAGGACGTGGCCTTTGTCCGTTGCTATGATCCTCAGATCGAGTCACGCAAGTGTGAAACTGGAAACTAGGACAGCGCTGCCTTGAGCCAAGACAGCCTCGGATATAGCGCTCGCTATACAGCCTCACTTTGAACCTCGTTCAGAGTGCCCCAAGACGCGCCAGATGGCCTCCGGACGGCCCCAGAGGCCTCCAAGGCGCCCCAAGAGAGCTCCAAGAGGCCCACCAAGAAAACCCCAAGAGATGAAAATTGTCAATTTCACAAAAGGGTGTTCGAAACATGCAGGTATTTTTGCCTTTTCGGCTCCTCGACGCTCCAAGACGGCTAAAGAGGCTCGCGCGAGGCCTCCAAGAGGGCCCCAGGGCGGCGCCAGATGGCCCCAAGACGGCCCAAGAGGCGCCCAAGACGGCCCAAGATGGCACCAATACGGCCATAAGAGGGGCGTAAGAAGGGGGCCACGAACCGCAAATCCGAGCCTTCCGCCCCAAGACGCCCCAAGAGGCCCCCAAGAGGCCCTCGAGAAACTCCGGGGGCCCCCCAAGAGGCCCAAAACTGGCCCCAAGAGGCCCCGAAGCGGCCCCCAAGAGGCCCCGAAACGGCCCCCAGGAGGCCCATGACATCCCAACAAACATCCAATCCAACCAGCCCCCTGGGCGCAGGTGGTCTAACGATGTATTCCTTCCCTCTTCCAAAATCGTCTTCTTCCCCTTCGGGGCGGGGCTTACCACTGTTCTTTATTAATATACACCCCCTCCCCCAGGCTACCGGCGGCCAACCGGGAACTATGTTCCCGCCCTCACCATCCTTTTCAAAAACATTGCAAAACGCATTCTGCCTCCAAATTCGGAGCATGCGCAACCAACCCGATGCGGCCTCACCCACCACCCCTGTCAAAATGCAATGCAAAGTACACTTTGCGGCAAAGTCTGGAGTCATGTCCGCGAGGCCCGCGAGCACTCTTTTTTTCTGTTTGACTGGTACGGCGTGGGTGCCAGCATATTGCCTGCTGCGCGCAGGGCTATCGCCCCTGGCAAAACACAATACAATATGCACCTCGCGGCTAAATCTGGATTTGAGCGGCCACCCCGCGATCATTGTCAAGTGTTTTTGACAAGGACTTCGGCGTGGTGGCGCATGGCCTGCTGTGCGCAGGCCCATCAGACACAATGATGGGCATTGATTTTCGATGAGGATGGTGGGGGCCGACATGTTTCCCGATGTGTGCTGTCACGTGCGCAGGCGCACCTGGCGCATCCTGCACGTACCCCGAGCGCGGCGCACCTGGCGCGCCTGGAATATGCGGCACACCTGGCGCACGCGGCGGTACGTGGCGCATCTGGTGCACCAGGCATGCTTGGGACGCTCGGACCCCAGGGGTGCCTGGCGCGCCTGGCGCGCCTGGCACGCGTGGCGCACCTCCCCCAGCGTCGCGCCAGACGACCTCTGAACATGCTGAGGCTCGGGTGGTAATCGTGCGTTGGAAGGGCGGGCGGGAGTGAACTAGACAGCTTGGTATATGGATGGTGTCTTGATCACTGTTCCCTATAAATAAACGCCCCCTCCCCCCCGCGATTTGGGGCCAACCAGGGTCCATGCCCCCCCCCCCCACCATCCCTTGTAAAAAGCAATACAAACCACACTCTGCCTCCAAATTCGGAACATGCACAGCCAACCCGATGCGGCCCCCCCCCCCACCATCCCTGCCAAAAAACAATACAGAGTACACTTGGCGGCGGCGGCGGCTGCGGAGGCTGCGACGGCGGTAGCGGCGGCTGCGGCGGCTGCGGCGGCGGCGGCGGCGGCGGCGGCGGGGGCGGCGGCGGCGGCGGCGGCTGCGTCGGAGGCGGCGGCGGCGGTAGCGGTGGCGGCAGCGGCTGCGGCGGCGGCGGCGGTTTGGCGGCGGGGGGCGGCGGCGGCGGCGGCGGCGGCGGCGGCGGCGGCGGCTTGGCCTCCAGTAGCTGCCCATCCAAAGACGACTGCTGAATATGCTGAGCCTCGGGCCAGACTCGGGTGCTACGTATGTGTTGGGAGGGCGGGTGGGAGGGAGCGAGACGGCTTGCGGGCGGGGGGAGGGTGACTTGACCCCTTCCGACCTTCTCCCCTGGACCTGGACGGGGGGTTCGCGAGGTGTCAAAAGGTTTCGTTTCGCCAAAAATGGCTCCAAGAAGGCCTCAGAGAGCCCAAGATAGCATCCAAAATCGTTCATATTAGCCCAACATGGTTCCAGAGGGCTAACAACATGCCTCCAACAGGCCACAAGAGGGCCACACATTGGTTCCAAGTGCTTTTGGCGACCCCTCAGGACCTCCCCGAGAAGCCCAAATCCGTCAAAAGCGCGAAAGATCACTGACGTGTGCCTTCTCGCGTTTTCGCTTCCGATGCGCTTTTGAGGCCCCAAGATGGCCCTAAGATCGCCCAAGAGAGCCCCAAGAAGGGCCCAATAGGCCTCCAAGACTGCCCCAAAAGCGCCCAAGATCGCCCCAAGAGGGCCCCAAGAGCGCCCAAGTATTATATTTCGATGGCCCCCCCTGGGGGGTGGTCCCAGGAGGCGATGATCTCCAAGATGGCCCCAGGAGGCTTGTCATAGGCCCCAAGAGGGCCCCAAGAGAGCCCCAAGATGGCCCCAAGGCGCCCCGAAACCGAAAGAGCCCCAAGAAGACCCCATGACCCCCCAAAGAGCCCCAAGACAGCCCCAAGATGCTCCAAAAGAGCTCTGGGCCCTGGGGGTGGCCCGAAGAGGCCCTCCAAAGGGCCACCCCTTTGCTCCCTGAGATCTCTTTTGTTCACCCTGGTTGCCCGCTTTGTTTCACTATGTGTGTCTCTTCGTCCCCTTTCCCGTCAGCTCTCATGGGCAGGGCTCCTGAATGGGCAGGTTGGGATTCGCGAAGCGTAAACAATAGTCTTAACACCCACAACCCAGGCCCGGTGGCAGAATGGGCCGAAAGCCATTAGACCTGGGCCGGCACGGAAACGGAAAGAGCGCTGCAGGAACTTGACCGAAATTATTCACACCACCGTTCGTATTGGGAGCCTTGGCGTTGAGAGTTTGTTACGTCACCCCGCGCTCCGCCTCCTCCTCCTCCTCCTCCTCCTCCGCCTCCTCCTCCTCCTCCGCCTCCTCCTCCGCCTCCTGCTCCTCTTTCTCCTTCCCCTCCTCCGCCTCCTCCGCCTCCTCCTCCTCCGCCTCCTCCGCCTCCTCCTCCTCCTCCTCCTCCTCCTCCGCCTCTTAGCCCTTTGGTTCCAGCACCTGCAGGAATCGCGGGCCCTCCGACCGCACGTGCGGTCTCTCCTCCTCCCCCCCCCTTCCTCTCTCCCCTCCCCGCGGCGGGCGGCGGTCATGGTCACTCAGGCACGGCCGAAATGGGTCCCGACTCAATTGGCGGCAGGTCGGCGAGCGCACCTGGCCACGAACACCTACCAGGGCAAGGTGATCCTCAAGATCACCATCTTCCGCAAAATGGCGGCCATGATGGAGAATGGCTTCGCGGTCGCATGGATCTCTGCAGTGCTCCAGGTCTTGGATTCGGCTGTGGCTGTGGACCACGGGCACAAGGCTTCCGACGGCTCGAGTTTCATCACTGTTGTGCTCAAGCCTGTTCCTGGTCCTCAACTCGCGCCTGCAGACGATGATGACGATGATGATGGTAGCCCTGGCGGTGGAGGCGGTGGACATGATGGTAACCTCCCTGGGGACCACTCCGGTGACGCTTGCGATCGCGGCGATCGACGACACCCTGCTGCTGGTGGGAGTGGAGGCTCGCGGCGTGGACCTGATCCATGGGCGTCTGGTGCTGGTGACCCTTGGTCTGGAGGCCCGTTGCCCAAAGTACCGCGACGACGTGTTGCATCCCCTGTCCATTCTGGAGCTCTGGGTGTTCAAGATGTTCTGCCTGCTGTGCCGAGCTTCCCATTCAACTCCGACGCGGAGGCTTTCATTCCGATTGCAATGCAAACCCATGGCGCTCCTTGCGATAATCTTCCTGTGGAGCTTCGGAGTGCGGACTTTCACAGTGCCTTGGAAGACCTGTGCAGTAAAGTGCATGGTGAACTTCATGGTGGACATGCTCAGGAGGTTCTCCAATTACTGCAGAGCTTCACGGACGAGCTGGCGATTGACCTTCATGATGATCGGCTTGGGCCGCGTACGGAACCTATCTCTTGTCCTGGACCGAACGAGGATGGATCTGAGTATTTGGCTGGTCTTTTTGGGCCTCTTCACGGTTCTGCCTTCCACTGCGTCCTTTCGGTATTCTGTGGTGTTGCTAATCGTCACCTTCAGGCTGGGCACAGAAAAATGGATCATGAAGTTATGGCGCAGGTGTGTCTTGAAGCTCAGGGCTTCCTCCCTCGACCTTGTTCCCGTACGGTGGTGCGCGAAATCGTGTAGCTTGCTGAGCCCCCGCCAGATCCTGAAGATGACAGGCGCACGGATGGCCGCTGGAGCTCTTAGTTGGGAGATATGGCACTGTTCTGGAGGGGGCGTATATCGGCCACACGGGGCAGATTGCAGCAGTGGTCGAGGACACCTGCCTCCCATTTTGATGTTTCTTCCTGATCTCTCCGCCTCGGGACTTCAGGCGGATCGTGATCACATGGGCCCGCCTCGGGCCCAGATCCCTCAGGCCGCCTCAAGACTCCTCCTCCTCCTCGCCTCCTTACCTCCTGAAGACGAGCGCCCTTTTTCCTCGGCCTGATGGCGCCCGGGATCCAGATCGCAGGCGCGAGCTCCGCGGCTGGCGACCCTTGCCGCCGCTGAACCCCCCGCGAGGGATCTCGCGGGAGGCGAAACACCACGCCGACCGCAATGCGGCAAGCGCGTGCGAGCCCCATGTGGGGGCCCGCCGAACAAACTCGGCTGGGGCCCGCACCACCTCTGGCGTGGGTGGGTGGGACCCAAAAAAACACATGCGGCTCCCTAGGAGCCTTGAACATACGGCAGCGGAGGAGGACAACAGGGGAGAAGAGGCTGCGAGGAGGGAAGAAACCCACTGTTCTCACGAACGTCTACGTTTCTTCCTGATCTCTCCGCCTCGGGACTTCAGGCGGATCGTGATCACATGGGCCCGTCTCGGGCCCAGATCCCTCAGGCCGCCTCAAGACTCCTCCTCCTCCTCGCCTCCTTACCTCCTGAAGACGAGCGCCCTTTTTCCTCGGCCTGATGGCGCCCGCGATCCAGATCGCAGGCGCGAGCTCCGCGGCTGGCGACCCTCGCCGCCGCTGAACCCCCCCTCGTGCTCTTCTAGCGGCTCATAGCCGCCCTGTCCGGTGCCCACAGCACCAGACCTCCTCCTTGCGCGCCGCGGGGCCCACCTCGAGGGCCCCCGCACGCACTGGCGGGGGGACCTGGCCCACACGGCCCAGCGCTCCTGGCTATGCCTCCACCACGATCCCACCACCTGCTGCGTCTGACCGCCCTACGCTCCTGATGCCGCACTGCCATCCTCGAGGCTCCCCTGCGCCCTCAGCTCAGGCCTATCGGCCACCGCTGCCCCCACGCTCTGAGCCTCAGGCCAACGCGACGGCGTAGCCTCTCAGACCATCGTGATGTCCGTGGCCGCCATGCTGCTAGCCACCCCCTCCGCCATGCCGCGCGCCTCCCACAGGTAACCCTGGAAGGCGTCGCTGTTCCACCGCCCCCAGCGCTGCACCAGGGCGGTGTCCTTAAACGCCGCGTAGAGCGCCGACGCCTCTCCGATCCTCAAGCTGTGGGAGCCTAGGACGTTCGGGTGCATGCCCTCCGCCACCGCCGATTGCATCACCACGCGCTGGACGTCGGCTCGCGTCACGAGGTGCGTGTCATCGAAGGCGAACAGAGGGTCGTACATCTGCGCGCCTGAAAACCTCTCCTCGTCCCAGCCCGCATAGATCTCGAGCGCCTCCACCACGCAGATGTGCCCGGTCCGGTCTGCGTCCTCAGCAATCTCGATGCGGAAGTGATTGCGCCACTCGCCCCGATTGTACTAGTCGGTCTTGCTGGCCCGGATCTTGATGACGACCTCGTTCGCCTCACCCCACGCGCGGGTCGGCTCGCTGTTCGCTTTCGGGGTGACATCAGCCCCCCGAAGTCCCTTGCCGCCCACGTAGCCGTTCTGGTCGTTCGAGACGTACTCGCTGGCCCTCAAGAGGAAGAAGTAGCCCGTGGCCACTGCTGCCCACAGGGCCGCGCCCTCCCTTGACCTCTCCAGTTGCAACTTCCGCCTTATCCACCTCATCATGCGGAGAGTGACCGGCTTCTTGCGCTTGGTGCCGCCGTCCCTCCTCCTGAGTCCGTCGATCGCCATCCAGAGCCTGCCCACGCCCTCGGTGATGTCCCCCATGCCGAGCGCGAGGTGCTGGGCCCGGACCGAGCTCAGGTACTGCTTGATGGTGCCCGCCTTCTTGCAGCCTCGGCGCGCCAGGTGGATGACGAACTCCAGCAGCAGCTCATCTTCGCCCCTCCTGCTCTCGGGCGTGATCTCGCGGAGTGGGCTGATTCCCCTCGCACGGCAGAAGAGGGTCCACCACCTCCAGCCGATGCTGTACGACTTGATCGTGGAGCTGGCCAGCTTATCGAGGATGAGCTCGAGCTTAGCCTTCTCCCAGTCCTCGCGCGTCTTGAGGTCAGTCATGGTAAGATCCTCCGGGCGGGCGCTCGCACGAACTGCCTCCGGCCCCAGGAGGTTGGGCGGCTTGTTCTCGTAGGGGCCGCAAGCCTTCTTGCTGCCCTTCTTGCTCCTGTGCGAGGTAGCCCCTGCTCTGCGGGCGTGCTCCTCGTCCGCGCCCATAGCTGCCAGGGCCCAGCCGAGCCACCCTCCCCTCTGCTCCGGGTAGCCCCATGTCCTCACAAGCGCCTCCAGCTCCTCCTCAGCCCTCGCCTGCTCGAGGCACCCGCTCCTGCGGTCGTCTCCTCCCCTGCTGCCCCGCCTGCGGTCCACGTCCTGGTCGCGGCGACGACCCGAGCCCCGTATGGCCCCGCGTGCCATGGTCTCGAGGCGGGTGCGCACTCCTTCCTGGCCCGGACCTGCGCTGCTCGAGCCCCTCGTGTCCGCCAAGTAGCGCGCGACCGCCTGCGTGTCGATCTCGACGTCCTCGCCTGGCAACGACACGCGGGCCGTGCGCTCCTCCGCCTCGACGGGGCGCGGCGTGCGGGGCGGCGGTGAGCGCGGCGCCGATGGCCCAGACGATGGAGAGCGGTCAGACATCGGCGGCCCCTTCCCGAGGTTCGCCATGAGCGTCGCCATCCTCTGCCTCGCCTCACCCTTCCTGGCCTCCTCCGCCGCGTCGTCCTCGTCGCGCTTGATCCGAATGGCCTGGGCCCTCAGCGCCGCCATCCTGGCCTCGTTGCTCGCGCTCACGTCAACCTCCTCTGACTCCGCCCGCAGCTCGGGTTCGACAGGGCTTGCGGTGCCGCCACCGCCTCCTTCGTCCTCTACGGCAGCTCTGCGCCGGGGCGGACTGCGAGATGCCGCCCTCTCCCTCGGCGCCGGTAGCGGCAAAGGCTCCCTGACGTAGACGCTCGTTACGCCTGTGCCCCGCGTGGGCCGTGGAGGGACTGAGCGAACTTTCCTCACCGGGCTTGCTGGGCGCCTCCTCGCCTCCGATGACCTCGACCGCTCCTGCTCCTCGGGCGTAGCGGTTCCGCCGCGCCTCTCCTCAAGCACCTGCGGCCGCAGCTCCTGGGCCCGCGCTAAGGCGCGCGCTGCGTGGTCCAGGACGCGACGGTACTCCTGGCCCGCCGTGCCTCTCTCTGTGGTGCGCCGGCTCTCCACGCGGTCTGACAGCTCTTTGCACTTGCGTCCCGCCGACTTTGGATCAGCTCCTTGGCCACCCCTGCCGCTGACATCTCGTCTCGAAGACGAGGCCGCAGCTGTCCTCGCGCCCTCGTCCTCCGAAATCACCTCCTCCTTCACCTCGGATGGCAGCATCCTCGCAACGAGCTTGATGTACGGCCCGTTCTTGCGGGCCACCCTCTTTGCCGCCGCCGCCTCCGCCTTGGCCGCCGCGGCTCCGCTCTCCTGAGCGGGGCCCTTCGCCGCCACCCTCTTGGCCTCGGTACGAGCTTCTGCCTCTGCCCCCCTCTCCCTCCCCCTAAGCTCACGCGGCGAGGGAGGTGGGCACGCTGGCGACGATCCACCGTCTCCATCATCAATCATCATCGCGAAACGTGGCCGGGTGCAAGTCCACGCCGCCGGACGGGGGGTCGAGCGGCAGCTCGGCGGGCTCCTCTGGGGCCACCTGTTTCTTTTTCTTCTTCCTGCGGTTCCTACCGCCTCCTCCGCCTCCAGCTCCTGGCTGCTGCTCCTCGCCTTGGCCGTGGGGCACCTTCTCGCAGCACTTGTAGTGCCTGACGCCTCCCTCCGCCCAGTCTTGCCCATGATGGCGGCCGCCGCACTCGTCGCAGCAGTAGCCTGGCTTCCAGAGCATCGCCGGGGCGCTGTGCTCCAAGTAGGGGCACCCCGGGTTGAGGCAGGGGGCCAGCTTTCCGACCTGCCCCCCGCCCGGGCGGACGCCTGGGCGGGCCTCGCCACCGCCGCGCCAGCTGCGCTGGCGGCTCCCGGCGTGGGGGCGTCGAGCCCCGCGGGAGTCCAGCTGCCCCGCCGTTCGTCGTCGTCGACGGCCCCGGCGAGCCTGCCGGACACGCCTGGGGGGGTCGGGTCGCCGACCCGGGCGTCGCTGGGCAGCGCCCTGAGCGGCGGCGGGACCGCCTGGGCCGCGGCCGCTGCCGCGCTCTCTGCCTCGGCTGTCCTCTGCGCTGCCAGCGCCCGATCCCGAGCCATCGAAATGGGGTAGATCCTGTTGCACATCGCGCAGTTCATGTCCCGGCCCTCGCCCTGCACGCCGCAGTACTCGCACCACGCGCAACGGGCGTCCGGGTCGCCTCCTGGGAAGGGCACTGGCGGGAGCTCGTCAACTCCCCAGGCTCCCCCTCGCAGCAGCGCAGGCGGCGACCTGGTGCGAAAGGGAAGACGAGAGGGTGACCTCTCTCCCACCACTTCTTCGGGAGTTGGCGGCGCCTGTCCCGACTGCGGCGTCGGCAGCAGCGGCGTAGCCGTCGCCTCCTCGCCTGTCGCCTGGGCCCCGGGACCGCCGCTGCCGCTCGCCTCCTCGCTCGCTGGTGGGTGGTAGCCTGCCTCCCTCTGCCTCCTCTGAAGGTCCTCGTGCGGGGCCTGGCAGTAGGGCCCATGGGCGTCACCGTCCGTGTTGCGGCACGTCCGACAGCAATGCCAGCCCCAACCCTGGTCCAGACGAGCGAAGCTCCTCCCACACTCGTTCCAGCACTGAGGTCCTCCGTCTGGATCACGTCCCACACGTAGAAGAAGCACGTCTGGGTAGGGGTCGTCGTGCAAGATCTGCGCCCGCCTCTGGCCCAGCTCGTCATTCTCGTCTGGGACCATGCCGCACTTGGTCGGGAGCTCCTCCTTATTGAGTGCCACCACCCGGCCTTTCGGGTCGCTCGGGCACTCGCGACGCGCGCGCAGCCACATCTGCAGCCGCTCCCACTGCGCGTCCTCCCTTGCAAGCGAGCAGACTCCTGCCTTGCCCGTGTCCTGCCGCTGCCTGGCGCACTCCAATTGGGACAGCGCCTCCTCGACCATGGCGTCCGCTAGCTGAGGGGTAGCGGCTCGGATACTCCAGGCCACGAGGTCGCTGGTCTCCGTGCCCTCCTCAACTGCCCGCCGGAAGATCGCCGGCGCGCCTCCTGTGAGCTTCCAGATCTCCTCCCC